CACTATCCATTTACTTATTCCAGGTTAATAAGATTCGATCGAACATACAGGTCGCTGGCACGTTTCGATCTTATGAAAAGTAAACATGCAAAAATTAATTAATTATACCATCGCGTTTTGCATAACTGGATTAAAGTGATACGATTAGAGATTCTTTTCTATTTTTGTTGTCTCAAATAGCGGTTCGTGAAAAAGCTCTTACACCGGCGAATTTAAAATTATACCACTCGGAATAATGACCTTTGACCTCCGGTACGGGCTAGCAGTTTCCAGCTTTCTATATAAAGCAAGACCGAAACTTCACACGTCATCGCGTGGCCCGCATTCACATGATGACATTGCAATACAAACTTCGTGTCTGCGGTATCGGAAAGGTATCGTGTGTACGAGGTCAGATGAGATATTAATGGAACTTACGCTGACGAGGCGACGGCGATGTCGTCGCTTTTGATCGACGCGCGCGCAAGGACGATAAAATTGTGAATGCACTCGCCGAGTATCATGCTAATTACCGGCTTTGCAATTGCGCGCGGCTCTTCGTCAGTGTAAACGTCATGATTATCTTAAATCTTGCCGCGAACTTATCTGTAACCTCCCGAAAAAAAAACACACGCGAACGTCCTTATAATTTGATTACTGACTCCGGTATTACGTAAGCGACCGTTCCATGTATGTATCAGTAGATAATATGCTCGGCAGCTTGACCTCCGTCAAGAACTTTTGGAACAGCTCTCGCACTCTCTAAAAGTCAATCAGTGTATTATCACTGAAAACAGTTATAGAGGAAAGTCCGCTATTATGAGACAAGTTCCTAATATGATATACCGGGGTTTCTCTTGAGTTAACAAGCATCATCCGTTGGTTTCGCCATGAATTTATTGCTCTTGAAGAGAAGCCTGTTTAGCGGAAAATTCATTGCTAGATCGTGTCATCGTCGCCAAAAAAGATTTGTGATTGAATTCGGACGTTGAAAACCTGCTATCTCACATTAGAAATCTATAATAGGGAACTTTCCTCTAAATATAGCACTGAATAAATCAATGCTACATTTACAATTGCACGGAAAAAAAATTTTGTATCACAAGATCAGTGTAGGTAATTGAAATAAAATCGTTGAAACAACATCAGTATTCGTAAATGAAAAACCGATTATCGTCTTAATACTCTGAATACTTACAATTAGTTCAATGCTTAAAATTCAAATCCATAGCAAATACAATTGAGTGAATTATTGATGTTTGCGGCAGCCCGTGACGTTAACGTTTGATTCAAGCAACTTCATTTTGCTGAATTCAACAAAATTTCTTTTCCGTGTGTGAATCAGCGAATATCCACTATTTTCAATGATAATCCGCTGATTGACTTTTAGAGAGTAGCTGACACCGATGATTATTCGCATTATGTAAATTCAAATAAATTAAGGATTTACGTTTATCGTCTTGTTTCTTTCCCTCCCCCTCATATTACAACGCTTCGTTTATAGACGGAGGAAATTCATTTAATCCGAGCTAAGGCTAATCCTCTGAGAGTTAGGTCATGTCGGTGCAGCCGACCCTTAACGTTGATTACGACCGGATCGAATCAACATCGAGCGTGTTCTTCACTCCCTTATCCCATTTCCCCGACGTTGAAATCGGAATCTCCCCCCTACGTGCTGCCTTTGCAATATTCGGCGCAGTAATACAGGCGACTTCCGGAGCTATTATGCTATTCCAAGCGCGACGTCTGCCAGACGGTTCGTGTCGTCGAGAATCAAGAGTAGTCGTATGTCGTAATTTGCCTTTGTATGAAATTTTATGGGAGAGCGGAGAGAGATGCCGTTTGAGGCGATGAATTCGCATACGATACTGCGCGGTTATAACGATCACAGACGTACAAAAGATGCAAATCTAATTGGCGACGCACACGCGAGCGAGCGAAATTTTTCTCGGGACATATCCGGGAAAACGCGTTTCAAACGAATTTGTTTAAAAGCGACTGTGATTATAACTAACTAAAATATATCGCTGCAGGTTGTTTTTACTATTTGCAATTGTACGCTTAGAATAAAGCAGATGTCATTGCTCTTACCCGAACGTGTGTCTCAATATATAAACATGAGTGCCGAAGAGTGCACTTATTTTTATGTTTAAAAGCATAATTGCATTTAAATCATGTTCGCATACGGCAAATAACGTGGAAAACATATCAACGGTAAACTATATGTATTGTCACTTTGATAAAAATACGGTTCGTGACTACATTCGTGACCTAGTTTCGTATACACTGAACATTATGACAATTTCTAAGGCTCGCTAGAGATAAAACGTGGCTAGCGCTTAATATATGCAATAAATGCACATACAAATTGTATCACCACAATTTATTCGATCTTTTGATATAAAAAAAGGCGACTGCAGAAATAGGAATTTATGTATGAACCTAAATGTGAATTTAAATAAGTTGAAAAAGTACAAAAATATTTTATGCACTTGTCCCACATATATGCTCATTTCTTTTTCATCTTAATGTATGCTTAAGAAATCAGAGAAATATGTGAAATTCTTTCTCCTTTTGATGAATTACGGCGAGTAAAAAATTGCGTACGGTCGTACATTTATGTCGCGGTAAAGAAAACGTATGGAAATTTGCATGGAAATACGAAGCTCGTTTAATCAAACCAACAAGGGAGACGGATTCCGTGGACATTTTTACTTCGTATTGCCCGAGATTAATTCTGTCTATATCTATATTGTCCATCTGTGAAATATATTAACGTAAGGGAGCACTCATTTTTTAGATAAAAATTGTAAAATCAGAAAGAGTATAATCAAGATAGTACTGAATTCTTTATCAATTACTATTTTTTTGGTAAAAAAATTAAATTTTGTGAAGCTTTATAAAATTGTATATTTCCATAAAATTAAACCAATAAGACTGGATTAAATTTAAAAAATACATATAAACGTTAAACATTTAGTAAAGGGTTTAACAACAAGTTGTGTGTGTAGATTTATATAAACACCACAAAATTATTATATGTACAACTGCATACCAGAAAATCATCACACGCAAGAGAAATCGAGATTGGGATTTATAATATTGTAGAAGTCTTAGTAATCTTTATATATAGTCCGTAATACGTAAGATACGAAGAAGATGGATAAAGATTTACAACACTACATAAGTAAATGCGTGCAAACTTTAATTCTGGCATGAATGAATCATCATCTGTCTCTTTGGCTGAGGGAGAGAGAATAAAAAATTTAATTACGTAATCCGAAAATTTATCATTTGATACATTGAGAATAATCATCCTGCGTATGACTGCATTAAGCTTTTATCCGGATGATGGATACGGACATCGAAAACATCAAGCAGGCGAAAATCTCACCGCGCTTTCAGAGGATTGCACAATAATCATTACTTACATGAGTTCGGGGTGGATAATAACGCGATTGTATTATACTATTTTCGAGAGAACGCTCCGTAATTCTCGAGGGAGATTTCCCAGATTTATTAAGCACGCCAAGCCTTATTTACAGATCTATCGTCAATTAATTTCAACAGTTTGAAATTTTAATTTAATTACCGCGAACCTTCGTCGAAACATCGGTAAACATTTGTAGAAAAAATTCATACTTTTGCATCGTGGAAAATCAAAATTGGAGCGAAATCGACATTTCACAACGGCGTTTTACTGAAAGAATGACATGTTAAGGCTCGGTTTCACCAAACGTCGCTTAACTTTAATCTTAGTTTCATTCATGTTTGTTTCTTTCTAAAGTAACAGTTGGAAAGAGACAAAGAACGAATTAAGCTAAGCTTAAAGTTAAACAACGTTGGTGAAACCGGACCTAAATTGCATAACTCGCAGCTCTTTAGCAAAATCTAATTAATTTTCACGAAAGTAAAATTCACCAAATTATTGATATTTCCGCCGTGAATAAATAATCAGAGTGAGACGCTGTCGACCGTCCTTTAAATGTCAGACAGAGTATTCTAATATGTGTACTATACGGGGGATGTTGTATCACAAGCAGCGTTGCCTGAAAACTTTACGCGGCACACAGCCAGCGCAACCGTGATATTGTTTCCCCGCTCTTGTGTTTTATACATGGCCACACGTGTTTATACACGTACACCGCGTAGGGATTTAATAACTCGATTTGTACGTAAACTCCGGTTGCTCGGCAATAATCGCGAGAATTAAACGTGAACGATCTTCGTAGCCGTGCACCATAAATCCCGTACAATAATTTTCGTATACAAACAGCAGGTCCGCGCGTTTCTCACAAGTTTTTCGTGTACATACTCGATTGATTCAAATGTTGCGGAAGAAGGTATCTTTTTTTCCTTTTTGTTTCGCAGGTACATCGCGATTTTCTCGCGGTATCCCGAATTGCGCTTCGAACTCCACTGGAAACCGAGTGGGAAACCGCTGAGGGCATTGTGTTGATTTGCTGCATTACTGGGCATTACCAGGCATTTTTTTGGGCATTAGTTTGGGCATCAGGCCCTTCTGGGGTATTATAAAGATATAATAAGATAAAATAACATAAAACAAGATAAATAAGATCAAATAAGATAATAAGATAAAGTAATGCCCGCTGGGCGTTAGTGGGCATCGGTGTACATGATTTTGGTCAGCGGTTTCCCCCTCGCTGGAGACTTTTCATTCGCACACGACATTCATTCGTCTACGACAGCATGACGCTCGGCCACTTTCAACTCCACGTTCCCTCGCGAGTCATTCAACTCCCATTTGCCTCCGGGAAATTATCGGCCCGGGGACACGGATGCTCGGAAGCATTAAAAACGCGGCGACAAATCTTACCCGCGCGAGTAACGCCGTTTCCGCGCGCATCAGCGCGACGACGTGCGTAAAGCGAGCACGAAAGTTTTCGGAGACGAGTAACGTGCATGCGATCGCCGGCCGGCCGGGCCGGATTTACGGGGACAAAGTTTCGCGACGGGGGTGTGCGGGCGTAAAGAAAAATGACGGTCCCTCTCAGTTTTACCTGACCAAAACTGTGATGCCTCGGCAGCTCGAGCGGCTCCAGAGGCACGTTTCTCTTCCTCAGGGTGGCCGCGCAGGGCGCGCCGCCGCCTGGTTTACCCCACGGCGAGTAATTGGTCAGAATCTCCTGCAGCTGCAAGGGGAGAGAGAATTAAAGCGCGCAAAATCGCCGCGGCTACCGCAGCCGTGTACAGTGATGGGCAGAACAGTTGCGACACTTTGTTTTTAGCGAGTTTAGAAACGCGCAGACTTTAGATTCAGGTTTACGTTATGAAACATTTTCTCTGAGAAAAATTTTACGCGAGAAATAGATTAGAAACGCTCAAAATGATTTCGGGATGACGTCGAGTAAAATATTTCTCGGGGAAGAAGATTTTGGACTTAAAAAGAGTAGAGTTAAATAGGACCCTTACGATAGAAATCAAACAAGCGAGAGCGACTTTAGCTCCGAGCAAGATGTGAGCCTAATAATTGTAATCTAAAATGTGAATTTATATGCCGTTTTCCATCTTGTCCTGCGCGTCGGTTTCATTCGGACATAACACGGTTTCATTGTCTTATTATATCTTATTTATCTTGTTTCATCTTATTTTATCTTTATAATGTCCCAGCAAGGGCCTAATGCCCAAAATAATGCCCAAAAATGCCTAGTAATGCCCAGTAATGCCGCAAATCTGTACACCACAATGTCCTCAGCGATTTTTCCCCCTCGGTATTACTTTAAAATCTCGGATACACATAGAATAGCTAATTGCAATCTTTAGTTACGCGGGGTAAAATTCGTTGAAGATTAGAGTTATCGAACAATCCAAATAATTCGGTTACTAATCGTGGGCCTCAAAATGGGCTGCTGTCTTCTTTTCCCCCCCAGAGAAATGTCGCATCCATTCTGTCTATCACTGTACACCTCGCGCGAATCTCACGTTCGGCGCGTCCGCCGGATTTTTCCGTTGCGCAAATAGCAGCCGCAATAAGACGAGGAATTTCTTGAAATTAAATTTTTACTAGGAATTCCCGGGTATTTTCGTCTAGGTGTGCGCCGGGGCATATTTTCGCGCGTGACCGGTATGCGGGAGATGACTGCTATCGCGCTCGTATTATATCGAGACACGGGCGTCTAAGGCGCAAAATTAAAGATAGCGCTCGGCGGGGAAGTCGTTCGGGGTTTAACTTAGGGGCGTTTAGCGCGCGATCGCGCCGAGAACGCCCTGCGGGCAGATAGGATTAACCCTGAGCGTATCAGCCCTCCTCGGCGGCATTGCTAACGCACTTGCATTCGACCGCGTGCACTTGCACCAGACCGCGGCCGCACCAGATTCCCGAGTAATAAGAGGGATGGGACCGCGAGTAATCCCTCGGCCTGTCTTTATTAGCATACCGGTTACACGATAAATTCCGACCCCTCCCCACCCCCTCCCCCCCCCCCGTCCTCTCCCGTACGCGGTAAATACAATTTAATACGGTCGACGTGTTGCATTAACGATACGAAATAATCACCGGAGCAATAATTACGCCGGGATTTTCATCGGCATAATTTCGACATGTATTTTGAGTGATTGAAAACGGCGGACACAAAGTATACGCGACAGGTATTACGGCGTACCGGATACCGCGCGTGTTGTGTGCGCGTGCATTTTTACAATGTGTTCCGTGCGGATTGTTATTTTCACAGAGGATGGTAATGAATGTAACGAGCGTGTGTTCTGCAAATATTTAGGACCGCCGCGGCGATGATTGCGCATCATCGTTATGTTGCATCAATACCAAAATAAAATGGCGGAGACTGAAAACCAGGTAGCGAGCATTTTAAACGCCGCATATAATTGGCGTAAAATGTATGTGGGTATATACGTACGATAGAAAAAATTACTAAAAAAAAAGAGAGAGAGAACGCCGCGGAAACGCGTTGGTTTTTGCACGTTCGCCGCGAGATTGAGGAAAATGAGACGCCGATACCGGAATGAAGGGGCGAGATTTACAAAATTATCTCGAGACTCGATCGCGCGCGCTTGTTAGATTTTCCGGGAATCTGCGTGGACGCTTTCTTGAACGTTCGACGTGGGGCATCGATTTTATTTCTAATTACGGGCTCGCTCCCGCGATCACTTCGGAGATTACTATTAACGCGACCCCAACGCTTAACGAGCTGTACAGCGTTTGTTACAAGTTTGTAACGAGCACGCGGGACGAGACATGCAGTTTATGTAAAGGTGAGACCGTGATAGATTATTGGGTTATCTTTCGCGGCTTGTTTCTTAAGACAGTTAGAGACGGAGATTATGCAAATCCACTTTAATGGGGTGGCTTTATTACCGTTCGCTCGCACGTAATTTCCCGCTCCGAATTCAACGACACGCCCCGTAGAAACGTAGAAATAAACGCAACTAGGTCAGACACGTACCAGAATTGCAGTGAAATTTTCAAAACACGTCTGTTATAGGAAATAAGCGGAGGGGTCACTCGATATTATGTATTCAATCTCAACTCAGTATTCTCAGATAATTTTCACTTTGCAAACATTTATTTTCATCGAGCAATATTGATCTCGACGCGATTTCAATGTCTATTTACCGCTGAGATTCTTTTATTCGCGCAAACTGCGTTAAATATGGACTAATATTTGTTCCACTTATCCTGAGATGTGACACATCGGACGCTCCGTAAATATAAATGATTTTGAATTTTTAAGGAGATGCTGGAGCAATCCTGCACTTTTTGCTCCTAGAACTGGCTCCAGAATTATCAATTCATAAAAGCATTTGTGTGATATATAAATAATGTGGCTTTTATGTACAGACCGACTAGTTTTTACTATTCGGATTAAATCAGAGAACAGCGTGGTATTCCAATTAAATTTACAAGTCTAAAAAAATCTATTTATTCGAATAAGTTATAGATTTCGACCTGTGCATGAAAGCCACATCATTTGTATATTACACAAATGTTTTCACGAATTGACAGTTCTAGGAGCAAGAGGTGTAAAGAGTGCGGAATCGCTCCAGCATCCCCTTAACGACCGCCCCCGAAATCGAATGCGATTATTGAATTTTAATTTCCCGGCCGCTTGCGGACAGCGCGGAGGATTAATTTCCAAAGTCCGCCCGCGTCTTCGCCCTTAATGACGTTCCGGTTCACCGAATATACCCCCGGGGGCCGCATCTCCCGCAGCAGACCCTTATCCGATCGGTAACAATAGCAAGGCGAGACAATGACGTTAAGGGGCGGTCGGGGCCGTAGGGCAAGTGGTATAAACGGCAGCAACGTGGCCAAACCAGAAACGCCCATTTGTGCGACACATACTTCACGTTGCTCGCGGTGCTTTTGACGTTGCAGCTCCTCCTTCCGTCGCCTCCATAACGCCGTGCCCTCCTGAACAACTCGGCGCTCGCGCTTTCTCCTCGCGTCTTCTTCCACTTCCGGCTCGTACGTCGTCTCCGGAACTTCCTGCGCCATTTACGTATCGTATCCCCGCGGCGGAGGGGGGGGAGGGGGAGAAAAAGAGGAACAAAGGGGCCGCGCGATCACGACAGCAGCGACGATACCACGGCGCGACGTGACGCGTACTCCTCAGGCATGCCAGAGCTTCGAATATCGAATGCCAAAATAGGGCCAGGGGCGACTTGGTACAAGTCGCATGCCGCAGCACGTGGTTCTGTCATCATTCGTTATCGATTTAACAGGATATCGCTCTTCCCTCGGGAGATACGACGCTGTTGTACGTAGTCGACGACGTAATAGGAGCGCCGATACCGGGACACCACCGCGCTGTAATCGAGACATCCGGTTTTATATATCGTTTCTCGATATAAAAAAAAAACGAATCGTTCGAACCATCGGCCTCCCCCCCCCCCGTCCGTGTACCCCGTTTGCACGAAGCTTTGTTCATTCATTCGACGCTTGAGCTACGATTTAATTCCACGTGTCCCGACGCTGCAAACCGGCGTGCGCGAAACAATTGCGTAATTGGATTAGGACGCCGACATTTAAATTACGAGCGTATATACTATATTTCATGTTTCTAGCAGCACTTTTCTGCATACAACAGTATGCTTACGTTTTGTGATTTTTTTTTATTATATTTTTGCAAAAAGGGGGAGAGAAATAGGAAGGTGTGTAGAACATGCGATTGAAAAGCGCGGACTTATTGAATTTGACCGCTATAAATAATGGTATCGCCGACTTTATATATTCCGATCACGTTTAATAAATCACTTTTATCTGTCGCGCGAAAACAACTGTTGTATAACTTCTATTGTATATTTTATTGCTTTGTCGTGCATCAGATTGGTATCTACGCTGCGGCAAAATATTTTGTATTCCCTCTTCTGTATTTTTTTTAATAAGACGCCTTCCCCCAGAATTTCGTGTGTTCCCAGATAGCACAGAGAATTAAAAAAATCCTTTTTAAATTCCCGAATTATGAAATTAATTCCTTTTTCCTTTCACTTCTGTTCTGAAAACGTTCTATAAAAATTCGCGCCGGAAAGAAATTCCTTTGGGGTTCATTTCGAACAGATTACGCCGATTCATAAAGAATTTTAAAAAGTGAACCCTTTTTGAGCTCATCATCGTCATCTGTACTATTTTGATCGTGGAAATTAATTAAAAAACTTACACGAACGTAATTAAGCTTAAATCATAAATAATTAGCCATCTGCAAAAACACCGAAATCCTAAAATGCCAAAAGTTTCAATCAATATATTCATACACGATACATTAGTGATTCATTATTAATTTGTTCAATTAAATCATTATTTAGGGTTAATAAATACTGAATTAGACTACCGTCAGGCTATAACTGTACATGTAATGCATGTATAAATGAGTTATTTTCAATAATGTATTTCTAATAAAAATCGAGAGAGGGATATATATATATAATTTTGCGAAGAAAGTCATCTGTATTAAGCGGGATGCCTTAAAAAATGCTAACACTTTGCCATTATAATTAAAACTATATTTATCACGTTTGTCTTGCCTGTTAGTATATTGAGAGCCGCAGAGTCTTAAGTTACGAAAGTTTTGTCCTAGAAAAGTATATTTAACACAAATACTTAGAAATGCCAAATTTCATTCGACTACAGCTGGCCACATTTGTTAACTAATCGGTCAATGCAGAAAATTTATTGCGGAAGATATTAACTCAGCCAGGGTTTGAACCTGGACTTCCCTTACTCTCTAGGCGGGTGTCTCACCAATTCGACCACCGAGGCATGTGGTAATATATTTGTCGCAATAACAGTATACAGATGACATCCTCGCGTCTGTTTTTCGACTTTAAACTGCGCGCCGATTCGACAAATACTTTGGGATGTTATAACGTCTCGTGGTCCTGTACGGACAAAATTTAGTAGAATTTGGCTGAATTACGTAGAAAGTGCCTTTATTTATAGAATGATGTGATCTCCGGTTGTAAATCTGAGGTCAAAATCACAAAATTCACGTTGATGAATCCTACATGACGGCCATTGAGTAGACAATTTGTGCATAATTCATGGATTTATATTGGACTTGGTATTTATAAATTTTTTTAAATAATTATGAAACTGAGGTCAAAGTTACAAAAGTTTAAATGGCGTTAACGGACCTAAATATACACCAAATGTGAGTTATTGCTCATATTTATATCAAAATGCAGTTAATAAAAAGAGTTCTGATAACGTTACTTATAAATACTTGAAAATCATAAACTTCTGGGGGTTTTACTTAGAATTTCACATTGCTAATTATACGTTTATAAAAATATATATAAATAAAAAGTTCTTATTCGTGAAATAACTAAATTTCGATATTCCGTCGGATTATAGAAAACATTTAATTTGTAATTAGCGATTCCAAAAATCTATAAATCAAGTTTAGAGTATAACAGTGTGTACATTAGTAAGAATAATCTACTTAAACTTCAATATATTATTAAACATTTTACAATTTCGATCTCAAGTTTCTAATCAAGCGATTGGCAACTTAAAAAATTCTTAAAAATAATTAATTTTGAAAATGTGAATTAAAGACTATTGTTATCTTTAGAAAAATTATAACGTTACAGCCCTTTAAAGATTAAAAAGTTTAAAGAATCATTCGTTGTACGCGATTTAAAGTTTAAACAAATCAAGTGTGAACCAAGTAAAGTTAATCAAAGAAAATTTAATCAAAATAGCATAGAGCAAAGAGATAAATCCATGAATAATTCATATATACAATCCAGTTTGGATTGAAATTCATTGATTTAGCTAAACATTTACAGAGCAAATTAGACGCGTTTTATTTTGATTCCTACATTTAAATACGGGTTTGCTAACAAATACGATGCACCACAAACTGCAACACATTCCGAAGTCCATAAATAAGCCGCAAATGCACTCAATGGTACAATTGACCATAAAACCGACTCCCAGATGCGAACCTTCGAGTTGTTGATTGCGTCCGAGGGGTCAAAATACGAAAAAATAGAATCGCAGAAATGAGAAAATTCCGGGTGGAGTTGTTTCCCCACAAATAGCAGTACTTATACTGACGATGCGACACATTATCCTACAAACTGTGCCGATTAAAACTCTCCCACCAGATCGCATATCGCGAAGCCATTTTGTAACTCTTCGCGCTTATCGCGCTTTGCCCTTATCGGCCTTCTATTAGTAAGAAGCGTTTCTGTCGTACAATGCGACACTACTTACTTTTTTTTCGAGCAGCGATGAAAAAAGACGACGTCCGAGTTTTATGAAATTCAAGGATCGATAGAATAGAACAAGTTTTATTTAAGCGTCGCAATCGCTTTTCTCTCCTCGCTTGCATGTGCAAACGCGCGACGGCACGTAATGGAATTAAACATGCAAAGTGCCAAGTAAAGAAGTGCCAGATCGCTAAAACGGTACCGTGGTCCGTACAGTCGGGCCGCGTGCATTACCGCGTGCATCAAAGGGCGCCCGCTTTCCTTCCCTTTCGTACCGAATCTCCCGCCATTGCAGAGCCCGGTATAAGCTCTCGGCTCGAGTTGTGCAGTAATACTATTCAATCGAACAAGCAGCGGGAGAGATAGGCGGATTCGTCACCAAGTCACGTAGCGATCAAATGTAAATTTTATATCGGCTCGCAGCAGACGGTGGCGAAATCGAGAGACAGACAGGCTCGCGTAGACTATCGATTTCGGTGCCGAATTTGCTGCCGAGAGCCGATTCGATACTACGTTTTGCACGTCACTTAGGGGAACAAACCGATCAATACCTCGTCTTACGGTCAATAACAACCGAAGCTGACAGCACACGATCGTACTGCGAACACCGGTCTCGGGGATGCGCGTAAACGAGGGATCGATCCCCGAGTTTAGCGGTACCGTCCCGTCCCCGACGGCACTCTTTCCTCCGTTTTAAGGGCGAGACGTACTTCTCACCCGAAGCGAAAATCGGCGGAGGGGGGGAGGGGGGCGACGCGGGCCCGCGACTGCGATTATTACGATTTCTCGCGTGCCACCGCGAAGCGGAAACGGAACGATGATCCACGCGGGACGCGCGAGAGCGACGGCGAAGTGGTTCTCGCCGAGCCGATTACATTCTTACGTACGGCGGCTTCAACGCGGTCGGCCACCCCCTCGCGACTACGGGTACACGCGACTGCCGACCCTCGTCGGCGATCGCACGGGGGGTTGCGGGTAGTCGCCGCGACGTCCCGACGTTCGCCGGCATACCGGCGCACGATTTTCGCCGCACGGACATGCACGCGTTGCCGTGTGCCGCCGTCGTTATCTACGCCGCTCTATACCTTCTACCCTTCAACCTTCGACTTCCGACCGCCCTTAATCAGGAGCGTAGCGACCGCCGCGCGCCGGCTCGCCCGCGAACAATCGACGCGCTCCGAGGGCGCTCCGAGGATGCCGGAAGTACTCCTCGATGCCGCGGAAGCGGGCCGAGGGTGAGGCGCGATCGCCCGGGTATTAAGGACTGACGTCGACGAGCCGCAATTTTGAATTATTCCGCCGATATTCCAAGTTTAAAACTACGTTCGTCGATTGCGCTCCTCAAATTTTACACGCAATTATACGGAGTAATTTTTTATGCGAAACGCCTCTCGTCCCGTTGAATCGCGCTTACTCGCAGATTTGTATTAATTAATTTCTCATACTAAGGCCCGATTTCACCAAACGTCGTTTCACTTTAATCTTAGTTTAATTCCCGCTTGCCTCTTTCTAAAGTAACAGTTGAAAAGAGGCAAAGAAAATTTTTGTGTATTGTAACATACACAATTAGTAGAATAAGATAGTAAGAAAATTTGCCGTATCTTTCATATTTTTGGAGATATTTGCGTGAATCATTTAAAATGACACCCTGTATAATATTGTACTGCGATCAATGATAATTTCTCGAGAGGGATATATTCCAAGCGATTTTACGTAATCTATTGCACGAGTGGCACGATAATTGTACCAATAAATTCTTATGTTATCGATCAGTACCAATTACGTACTTTTAACAAGTGCGCATTTCCTGACAAGAAACTTTTCCTCGATATTGTAAGCGACTCGTGTCGACGGACGCAGAGTCACTATACGCACGCATACGTAAAATAAAACGAGCAAAAATGTTTTGGAAAAAGATAGGAGAGCAACGCTGTACAAAACTTCCACCGATAGCGAACTATCTGATTTTGCATTTATCACGCCAGCGACGCATATGTATCTTCAGAAAAAATCAATTATAAAAAAAGAGACGCGAGAGAAACGTAAATTCTCTCGTGTCGTTTAATGTCGAAAATTTTTTGTCGCTATCCGCACAAGCGCGATCGCCGCTCTCGAATGTCTATTAGATTTAAAAAATTACCTGTTCAATGACTCTAGCACGATTGCGTGTTTGCTTTGAAAAGTTTCGTAACTCGTGAAATGAAATTTTATATACCGAAACGATAAAAGTTTACTGCCGTTATCGATGAGATGCTGTTAAAGATAGCCAGATCTGAATTTTCGTGACTATCAAGCGGTAAGCCCGAGGGTAATTGAAGAGCATACAACACATTATCGATTGTTTCGATGTAACGTAGTAATTGAATTCATGGCCTATGGTTATACAAACGCTTTGTAAATAAAGATATATACGTATGTTTATAGCGCAATAATGTCATGTACTAAAAATAAGATGTTTAAAAATTTGTTTGACAGACATCTGGAGTAAATTTTTTACATTGCAATGAACAAAGGAATTCATAAATTTGCATCCAAAAATGTGTAAAATGTTGTCATTCAAAAATTAAATTCAATACAACGAAATTTTGAAGTCACAAATCGATATAAAGTCACAATAAACAGGTGATGTTTAAAGTATCTTTCAACTGATTAAATTCTTTATTTTTATCTGCAGAAGTATTTAAAGTTCCATACAATTGAAATGCTGAACGAATACATTTTTGATACTTACAAAACTATTCTGACTTTCCTGGAACTTTCGAAGGGGTGAGGCAGTCCATAATCCGACATGTGCATTCAAACTGGATGTAGAACATTTTAAACTTTTTTTGTGATATTATGATTTTTATATTGATCAGATTTTGTCCGTTCAAAATGCTCTTGAATCTAATCTTTTAATAATAACTTTCCACATTTTTTTCGACAACAGCGCAATAATGTCATGTACTAAAAATAAGATGTTTAAAACTTTGTTTGACAGACATCTGGAGTAAATTTTTCACATTGCAATGAACAAAGGAATTCATAAATTTGCATCCGAAAAATGTAAAAAGTTGTCATTCAAAAATTAAATTTAATACAACGAAAAATAATACGCAAAAGTTTGTAAACTTTGTAAAGAATTCGCTCGAAAAATTTGTCAAAGGAATGTTACAATATATTTTGTCGCTGCAAAACTACATTTTTTCTATAGTTACTCACATATAGAATCGAACACTGGTGAGAACAATAGAGATGCAACTTTTTAAATTAAAATAAATATCGTGCCGCAGGTACATGCATATCTATAAAATAAGATAATAATAAATTGCAACACTATAGTATTACATCTTGAGCCAATTATCCGTATAAGACTGTCGATAGCTGTGACAAATATTTTTTTTTACATTTTTCACATCTCCCCCTCTCTCTTCTCGAACGGCCCACAGAATTCCGCACAAACGAGATGGTTATCAAAATCTATCGACTACATATCATTGGTGCGGCGCCCTTTTTTCTCCCTATGCCAAAAGTTCAGCGGACTATTGATTCATCAGCATACAAAACGTTATACGCCGCTCGCGCCCAACATACCTCTATTTCCAATTTTATTAATCTCTTCAATCTGCCGCTACAGTTTTTTTTTTATTTTTTCCCGGTAAACCCCGTAACTCACCATCGATTTGTTACGACCGCGATACGCATGTGAAAATAATTCTGTCGTTACATTGACGATCCTATCTTTACGTTAACTAAAGAATATGACGGGACGTAATTTATTTGAAACAAAATATCTACAGAACAAAGGCGACGAGAATGTGCGTCGTTTAGAAACGTTTTGAATAACGTAAAAGTTGCGAAAGTTGTAAATGACGTAATGTTGAAAATTGTATTGCGCACTTTGTTATATGCCTAATAGAGTACATGATATTATTCAAACATACAGGTACTATATTTATTTTATGAGTGTAGTATATACGTATCGTACGTAATATACTGGGGAGATTTTTATGATTCCTCTCAGAAAATCATCTTTTCAATTAAAAACATTTACAGTCGAAAAACTTTTATGGTGTTACAATATTTAAATAAATTTTCAAGTCTCAATGCGCATTGGGAGACTTTTCCTAATGCAATGCGTAGAGAAGCGGGGAAACGTATAGCGACGATGTTATTAAAATTTGTGCGATAAGCAAAATTCATAAAAAGGGCGACATTCATAGGAACAATTTTATCACTTGCCATTTCGACGTGCCTGAGCACGCGAAATCTCAGGCATCAATTGTGAAATATAATCGCTTATTATTTAAAAAGTACTAGAAACGACAAAACGCGCACTTCGCGCGCAGTTTGTGGTGAGCATTGTATATTTTTAAGAATTATATATAATGTATATATAATATACGTGCAAAGAAGCAATTGTATGCGCAATGTCAATTTAAAATAAAAAGTAATTTATCACTCACTGATACGATTTGCAACAACAGAGTGGTACATCGTTAATTATGTATGTTAAACGGTAAGAATACAAATAGGTATATGATTATTATAGACTAATTATGTAAAATCGAAATTATTGTATTAAATATACTTTCTATTTTATATTAAAAAGATAGGTACTTATTCATTAAAATATTATAATTATATGGATCCATATAATTATAAATACTGAAAGTCTTCCCTTTAAATATAAACTCACAAAATTTTGTACGTAAGTATGGTTTTGTCTCTAAACTTATTCGAATCCTCGTTCGAATCATTTGACTAAATAAAATAAAAGCACAGAACAGATGCTTCATTTTGCACAAGTAGCAAATAACAAAAATGTAAGACACTTACCTTACGATTTCTCCGCCGTTGCCCGATGTCTCCAAGATCTCCTCCTCCTCTTAGATTTCCTTATTGCACTAACACAACACTCACTCGCGAAAATCATCGATCGCGCAAAATTTCGGACACTCCCGGAAGAATAGGATAATGGATAAATCACTTTTGAATTGGCGATATAAAACGCAACGCGAAGATGGAACAGATTACACGAAATCGATAGATAATTAAAAGCGCGGTGCGTAAACGAGATGTAACCGCGACAAAGGACCACGGTTTACGTTCATATTTTAGATGAGTCTCGTGAAATATCTATGTATACGTTGATAAAGAGCCGTCGTCTCAACATACAATTCGTTTCTCATTACAAGTTGTAGAAGCTTAATAATTAATCGAGGAACGTTACTTGTCACTGATAAAGGTGTGCAAATCAATAGCGTTTTATCCTTACATTTATCGCGATCGAGTTTTGGAAACCGATAATGCAAAAGTAATAACACGCACGGAGCGACTCTCGCTACAGCCTGCCGGCGCGACGTTCGGCGAGCGAATGATAGCGCGCGACCTTCACGTACACAATGGCACGCAAAAACATCGTACGTCACCGTGCCGAGAGACAAACAACAAAAGAACGTTGAGAATTCGTTGTCCCGCCTACGAAGTTGAAAATTCTACACCTAATATTTCTAATTACTTTGTTCCGTGACTGTTACTACGTTTTGCGTATCATTCTGCGGACTTATTGGTACTGATTAAATTATATACTAAATTAACGATTAATTCTGTTCAATCGAGAAAATGTTTCGAAACAAAAATCGTTGTTACTTAAATTCTAATTACTAAGATTAGAGATTTTACCTCAATAGTTGGTGTATACAAATGTATATTACTAAATTGGAAATCTTCATTTATTATGGGCAAAAATTATCGAATTATTTACTTTAATAATAATATAAATTGGTATTAAATACTTTATTGGAAATAGCATTGCGCGCGCTATTTGGTTTTAATTTATATTTATTCGTGATCTTCACACATTAAGATTTTTTTCATGTGAAGAAGACGTAATCTGACGTTGACACTCTGTCACCTTTTGACACCTTAAATATCTTTGAATCTATAAAGTTCAGAGGAATATTTTGTGTAACTAAACACGAGAATATAGAAAATAAATGTTTTAAAATAAATTAAAAAATTTATATTTCTTTTTTATATAATTATTTGTTATATGTATATGTGTACAGGAGAAAAAGTAAAGACGTGTGCGCTAGTATAATCTCAAATAATGTATGAAAATAATATTAAGTTTCAGCGTTTTCGACAAAATATCAGAATCTCACGTCGTATTGTTTTACTTTATATATAAATTTGTTAATGAAAAATGGATAGGCTACAAGAGATTAGCTCAACGAATACATCAATAATATTCGTCATATTTTTCGTGAAAATATGTGATGTAAGTGCAACGGAGCACCCAACCCTCCACAGTAAAAATCGCGATCACTCCCTTTCGATAGATAAAATATATAAAAATAAATATACAGCAAGTTTTTCGAGTCACGCCAACTCCCATATCGTCGGTGCCTTTTATCTCGTCAGTGTCATCGGTTTCTGTCCGTGAGAGACACGATGGGCAACGTCATCAGTGGTCGTCACGGCTGGAAGTCACGTGACCGAGATGAAGGGAGCTCCATCTGCGGCATCCTCAGCGGCCACCCACTGGCCTCGAGGTTCGTTTCGACGCGTTGTTCGACTCGCATGGGTCACCGGCGTGGCGTGAACGTGTCTTCATCGTACGTACGTAATCGTCGTGCTCCTCACACGAATTAACGATGCTAGTGCTCCTGCTCGCGATATGCATCCTGTCCGGCGCGCACGCCACGAAACTCGAGCGGGTGCACGACGAGGAGCTCCTGAATCTCATAAAAGTCGAAAAATACGTGATCGTTCTATTTAGTAAGTTTAGTTTCTTTTCTTTTCTTTTTTTATTCTTTGCCTTCTCTCCGCTCGTCTTCGAACGGCTCTTCGGGGGGGGGGGGGGGAAATGTTGCTCATCGGCGGGACATCAATTATATATCATTTGTATTTCATTTATGTACCGCTTCCCGATTATTGATAGTCTTACGTTACAAATTGACACAAGGTTCTAACGATCTTGTCTCTCAGGAGTGCTGCAGTTGTCAATTTTCACTTCAGTCAGATTTTGAAAGTGTTCGCCGTAGCTAGCTCTCAAACAGGCACGCGATTTTGCTCCAGTTATCTTTTTACGAATATTACGTAAGCTGAGAAACGCTAATCCTCCTTCTATGAACACACAATAACAATTTGCCCTGGATATTACAAATGTTATAATGGCGATAATTTTATTTGCAGTGGCCAGCAACTGTTCAGACTGTGATAACTATGAGACAAAGCTGGCCCACTTGCGTGAGGATCTCGTCGATGCCATATCCACGAGGGTTGTCAAGACTGTTGATAGTCAATTACTCCAATTATATAGCAATGCTAAAGAACCTATTCTACTGTTCTTCCGACATGGGCTTCCTATGCTGTACAACGGTACGGATTTAACAAGAGATAGAAATTACGCATAGACTTTCGTTTTAGTCATTTAATTGTGCTCTGTGATAGTACATGCTTTATTACTCCGTTTACATTGTGATATGTCGCTATATATATTGTTATTTCTGAGTATGCTTGTGAATCTGCAGTTATACTATAGGTTTCCATAGGCTGGTATTCATAGTCTATTCTTATACTTGAACCAATCACCAATATTAACATCTTAAGACCAGGGCCGTGATTTGATCGGTCCCGCTTTCTCGCGCTAACCAAGTGACCGAATTCGCTACAAGATTACATTAATTATACACGTCTTTATGCAATTAGATCAACTAATCGAAATATCCAACAAGCTTTCGTACGGCGCATGTATAACCCAACTTAGTCTAGTTTATAAAAAAAAAGTATATATAACACTTCGAGTATTGTTAACTCTACCTGTGACGATTGCTTCTTCAGAAAGTTTTTCAAAATTAAAACTGATTAAAAACTATCTTCATTTTTCTATATCTCAAGAAAGATTATCAGCTATTAAGAATATTCTTAAAGTCGGCAGCAGTAATTATAAATTAATAACATCGGTAATATTTTGTCGACCGTGTCTGGCAATTAAAATTCTTATTGCGAAAAATATTACCCCAGCCAGGATTCGAACCTGGGACCTCCCTACAATCCGTGACGGGCGTCTTAGCCAGCTCGACCACCGGGGCTGTGATAATACTAAGTAATAATACTAAAGATTATCAGGCTTAGCAATGATATCAATAGAAAATGAGATATCTCATGAAACTGATTTTAATATTATAATTGATGCCTTCGCCGCTGCAAAAGCAAGAATGCATTTGATTTAATTTTTGAAATTACTATATAAAAGCGCCAAAGAAAAAGTTGTATTTTGTTATTTTTTATATACAATATATTTTATATATAATAGTTTATAATAGTTCCATTCAAAAGATAATGTATGCTTTTATGTGTTTCTAATAAGAAATTAATATACATACATGAAATAGAATTCAATGTGATATAAATTTTAATTCTCACATTTTTGTTTGCACCCGACCCCGCTTGGCTTAGAACCGGCTCTGCTTAAGACATTGTCTTAAGGCGATTTTTGACGATTATTTGGTACATATATCGAAGTGTACACGCGTCATGAATGCTTTTACACCTGAAAATAGCCGTTAAATTCAATATATTCCAATAGGAAAATTCATTTTATTAAAATAAATTTGCCTATTCGATATCTTTAGCGTCTTTCTTCAGATATAAAGGCATTCATGACGCTGAGTATACACTCTGGTACACTTTGGTAAATGTACCCAACAGTCGCCAAAAATCGTGTTTAATATGATCTTGAAGAACCAACTACAATACCGGCCATAGTTGTACATAGATTCTCTTCCTAACGATAGATGCATCTTCTTTTTCATAGGACCTTTGGAGGACGAGGAGATAATGACTACGTTTACGGAAAATAAAGCACCCACAGTAAAGGAACTTACAGATGATACATTTGAGCATTTGACTCAAGCAAGCAGTGGTGCGACGACTGGCGACTGGTTCGTTATGTTGTAAGTCTCGAGCCTGGCCTCTACATCACTTATAATAATCATTTAATTCGTTTTATTATAAGTAACGGCAGTACAGTCTAATCACGCCATACAATATCAGTTACAGCACGGACTGTGTACAATGCTTGCGCACGATGGCAAAGTGGGAAACGGTCGGTGCCACACTTAAACAGAGAGTAAATGTAGCACTTGTTAATAAAGCCACAACTGGGGTTTCCACAGCCAGGAGATTTAACGTTTATAATACTCCACAATTTATACTGTAAGCATATGGATATAAATTTATATTATATAAAAGTATTGTGGGATAAGCACAAAAGATGGCATGGTATATTAATACATTCTAATTGTACAGTTTTAGGCATGGCAAAATGTATCGGTATGATACAGAAACATACGAGATTGATTCTTTCATAGCATTCGCTAAAGAATGGTACAAAAATATAAGACCGGAAGAAGCACCTCCACTTCCAAGCCTCTTGTAAGTTCAAAGATTCGTATAGTTGCTTTAGGATTTATCATTAACTTAATTGTAAGTTTGTACATTAATGTATCATATTATTTTTCCAGTGATGAATACGCAAAAATAATTTTAGCTTTTCTTTACAATAATCCGTGGATACTCAAGCTAACTAGCATTTGCATTGGGGTGCTAGTTATTGTTTTAGCAGCTATTAAATGTATGCAATCGGATGAAACTCCAGAGGATAAAGAAGACTAAATCTGTTGCATTTAATTTGCCAAAAATATATTACAAATGTTTCTCTATACAGACTATTGTCTAGTGCTGAAAATGCTTTTTGATTGTACATTAAGTTATTGCACATATGTGAAAAGAGTATATAATTTTAAGTTTTACAATATTTTATAAATCCACGTGTTTCTTTCAAAATATTTATGAACTATTTATCAAATTGTAAATTTTGTGAAATAAGTGAGAAATTTCATTATTTCATCACGTGAAAGTGCAATTACAAATTTTTTGTATTTGTTTAATGACATAAAATTAAGAGTATATAACTGATAGTGAATTATTTTGAAGAGAATATAAATATGATTTTCTGTATGATAATCTAATGCACGTACATTTGCATTGGTTCTATATAAAAAAATATATTTTTTTACTCGAAATGTGTTAAAAAAATTGTATATAACGATATAGGGAGAATGTCTGTAGCAGCAAAGTTAAGAAAGACAAAGCGGTATTTACTTAAGGATGCTTGAAGTGGATTTATATCTATTTTGTTCAGAAAAGACTTTTATTGTCAAGTCATCGGCCACATTCCATTAACTGTATGATGTTACATTCATTGATTGTACAATATTATATTATATGTTACTTCGGATATTATTGCTGCTTTTTTCACACAATATAAACTTTTATGAGCAATCCGTATTGTTTTATTTAAAAAAATACAGGTAAAAGACGTGTAATCAGATTGTGCAAGAATATCTGTTATACATTTTTCTACAGAAATATATCTTTAATGCAAAAAATTGTTAATTAATCTTGAAATTCCAACCTTTGGACAAACCATTTGATTGAATTTAATATTTAATTCCTTATCAATGTGCAATAACGCTGTAACTTTTATTGAAGACATGCAATTCTATATCAAACACATCTGACAATTTATTCTTTTGCAACTATCTAAAAGTGATACTCTAAACCTTACTTGTGTAATTCGCGCGTATATAATAAATTCAAGTGTTGTGAATTTATAAAAGCAACACTTCTTCTGTGATACAATGACTTGTTAAGCTCAATATCTGCTAAGTTTTATAATATTACGCGCTTTGAATTAGAAGAATTCATGAGGCACGATATTGTGATGATAATGCTCGCAAACTATTCAATGGCAAATCTATTTCTGGGCTTGAAGTTTAAACTTCATTAGTCGAACGTAGATTTGCCGCTGACAATACTTGAAAATTCCAAATTACTCTGGTGAAATTATTGAAATCAATATGAATCATGTATTATGCACACTAGCTATTCTTTCAACTTGACCCATCACACGTGACAAAGTTGGACTCTACCCAGATAGCCAGTGTGAGCACAAGTTGCTTTCACATTGCTAAGAAAAATGTTAGCGTCTTGCTATGCATCTATGTCGTTTATTGTGCTGTTGTTTGCTAGCATTTGGTGTCGGAAATGAAACATTTGCATGATTCAAACATTATGCTAGCATTAAGTGCTTGGTCAGATGTAATAGATATAACATGTTTATATCTGTTAGAAAATTGAAAACAATATATGCTAATTCTTTGTTAACAGTATGCCTATTCGATGTGCTCTCTCTTTAGCTGTGCATTTAGCTACGACACTATGTTAACATTATGCTAGCTGTACTTAAATCACTCAAACATTGAATTCATATTCCCAGCAAAGAGAGCCAGCATCAGTTGCTGGCATTTTATTTCCATACATTGCTTGAGCATACTGGCTATCTGGGTACGTATAAACTTAAGGAAACAGTTAAACGTGTAGCTATCAACTAAATGAAACTACAACAAAACATACGTATTACATCAAGATATTACGTTACACTATTAAAGAAAAAGCAAAGATCTGTATAATATCAGAAGTCAATTCTTTACTTAAATGCCATTTTAATATCACAACAAAGTCAGCATTGTGAAAAAATATAACAAAAGTTCCGTGTACGCTAGTCTAAAAAATTGTACTTATTCCTTGTATAGCCATTTTGGTCTTGTCTCTTACAAATAAAAGGCAATTCGTACTCTTATTAAATATTGTCAACCGCCATGTTTATTCTGAAAACAGTTGATGGATTAGCTAGCGCCGTTCTTATGCTGTTCTCAAACCTCTCTCGTATCGACGAGAACTCCATCATATTGCTAGGCTTGGACTCGATCCAAAATCCATCGAATTCGTAAAACAGATAGCAGTAAAACTGATGAAAGGCACGAATCGTCGGCAGGGTCTTCGAGGAATTGTATATGTGAGTCTTGGCGCTGCCATCCCTCAGCAATTTCAAAGCCATACTCGTGAGATTTATACCGACTATAGCAAACGCGTACCCATAACGCGGGTGATTGGAATGAGACAGCACGTGCATAGCCATGCTGGGGTACTCTTGAGCAAAGTAAACGAGATTCTCCAATCCCAGGATCCCCATCCCGCGAAAGTCCGTCCTAGGGTCATCCCCCTGGAAGCCAATCTCCTGCCACTGCTTGGTCACCCTCGCCTCCAGGGGCTCGTATGGCATCAGCAGGCTCCACAGCTTCAGCAGCTTCTGCTCGTGGTCCGGATTATCCGTGCTGTACGACGTCTTCCTGAGCTCCTCACACTCCACGCAGAGCTGACGGTAGCCCCAGATCAGCTCGACACACTTGCCGAACGACTTGGCGAAGTCCGGATGCGCCGTGGGGTTGATCCGCTTGGTCACCAGCACCGTCCTGATGGCGTCCTCGAGGATCCTGCGCTCAGTCTTCGTCGTTATCCCGCGGCGATCGGCGACGTCGTTGAGGTAAGCGACGAGGGTCCTGATGTTGACGTTGCGCGACTGCCCGAGGGTCACCTCGACGGCGAGGGCGCGCGGCGCGCCGGACGGCTTCCCGTAGCAAATCCGCTGCAGCTCGCACATCTGCGTGGTGTGGCGCAAGAACCATTTTATCAGGGGCCTGAAGTACCAGCACACCAGGGCCCAGAGGTACCTGAACATGCCTGCCCGGTCGACGGTCCCGACGACTGTCTGTCAAGAAGCGTCCCTCTAAAAGCGCCGTATCACCACCGCGTTACCTCGTACCGTGCCAGTCTTCATCTTCACCCTGTCGATTTGTTACTTTCATCTCGCTGTGTAAATAGTTTTATGCAAATAATAGACACCCTTGCCAACGACTCGCCGCCTATCCTTCCACCTGAGCGTTTCACCGTTGAGAGCACGCACAGGCGGCACAGGCGGTACAGTTGATATGGTTGATATCAATAATTTGCATTATGCGCTTGACGTCGATATACCTGCCACTCCGTCTGAAGGTAGGCGCTTACGCCGAGTGGGTATCGCGTCTAGGTTTCACGTATACATCTTGATCGCGTTAACGTGTGAAAGAAGCTTAATTTCCACCGTTTCCAAAAAGAGAGAAAAATTTTGTGGAATTAATTATAACTAATGCAATTATTTATTTAGCGCTTTAAATTATAAATTTTTCAATTATCATGCTAGCATTTACTTTTAACAATCTTTGTGTCATGTTACTTTTTCAAATGGTTTTCCACTCCAAGCAGCAAATTAAATGGTATCTAATTGTTCAGATTTCATATAACAGCAAAAAAATTTATATCGACAGTCGATAATGTCACTCGGCAGCGTGATTGACCATTCGCAGCGACCGGTG